AGAATTAAAGAGTGTGTAATTCTGGCTCTGGATCGTCTCTTACGAATTGATCTGTGACCATTTAATCTCACTACAATATAGAGATTCCGAATCCAAAGAAGTGGCCACACCAATCAAGGGCCAGAAGAGATAACATACCCAAACCTGGTCACCCCCACACCTGCTGGCTGCTAGGGCAGGAACTGCTGGAAGGGAAACAATATAAAATCCAAATTCAGCAAGAATGTGACTGACATTCCTCACAGAGTCCACCGCCATCCTATTGCACAACAATACATCTGCAAAGCCATTGGTACGAGTTTAACATGCCTGCAGATTCATGTGATCCCGGAGCAATTTTGCACAAATCATGTACGATTAACAGTAATAAATGCTTTTCTATTGAAAACTGAAGCCTCTTAGGCCTTAGGAGCATTATCATAAAAACCTAAACAAATAACAAATTGACCTTCACGTTTATCCATCTGTGTGACAGTACAACACCATCAAGCTAAACGTTCTGATCCTGAAAACTCCATCTTGAGATCAAAGTGCTCCTGAAAGACTGTTATTTATGGTGCTGGAAGATTTGCACAAACAAACCATTAAAGGCTTTAAGTGTTGTTCAGCCCATTAAATACCGTAAAAGGCTGCTGTGGTTAAGCTCTATAAAACAATGAAATGCCCTTGAAGAACACAGCAGACCGCTCAGAGAAAATGCAGTGGAACGTTTCTTCATGTAATTCAAAGACTTTGAAAGGCAGAACAAGAAGAACGCCATACTTCTCACAAAGCTTGGAAGGATTCATCAAAGATCGTCCCTTCACGTGCCAATTACATTAATAGAGCTAAAATCTCCTACCCCACCTCTGCTTCGTCTGAAAACTGCTGAACGTTCTCCTCTGCTAATATTAATAATTGGCACCTGTCATGACGACTTGCTTAGTGCTTGCACTTATGAGCACAGCAGAATAATCGGCACGTTCCAAGTAGTGTTGAAAAGACAGGATGAGAACAATACAAAGCCGATATTTTTGTGCTGACACAGTAGTGTACTAGTTCTCCACATTTGCTGCAGTCTCAAGTAAATAATAATGTTCCAATGTGGTAACGGGGCATGTCAGTCAAGCAGTACAGTCTGATATCATCCACAAGCCAATAAAGCACATCCTGAGGAAAATTATGTTTTGATATATCTTATGGGAAGCATGGAAGTTAATAATACTTTTACTATGCCTTTGTTTTCAACAGCTCGGACTAATAATCAAAGCGAACATTACATACTGTTCCAGTTTTTAATAACCCATGCTGAAAGTGGGTTTCAAATTCAAATATTAATAAAAGAACCTGAAAGCTACAGCATAATACCTAATATTTTTCTTGTTGTAGTTTTAACAAAAAGGCTGTTAATGAACAAGACAATTATCTGTGCAGCTTTTGTCAGCTCAGAAGCATTTTTCATGGCAAGAGAAGCTGACTGTGTGCATGAAACACGTTTAAAGGCATTAGCAGGTAGACAGTTAAAAATCAGGGAGGAATATGGAAAACTGCTGAGCTGAAATAATTTCCAAAACAAACTTAAAAATCCCCATGTTTATAAATATTGTTTTACTTGGTTGAATCCATCCCACACTGATAGGCTTAGCTTTGCAGTCAAACCTTTTCTCCCATAATACACAAAACATTCATAATCTTCTAAGAGAAGAGAGTATTACTAAATAAAGGTAGAAGCACAGGAACAAAAAAAAGTTTAGAAACAAAGAGACAGTTAATTGCAGCTCATTCTTCCAATTATATTATCCAGCCCTTTTTCTGAACAGAGCCAAAGTATCAACTTTCACAGCATGGCTGGGTAGCTTGTAAATTCTTCCACATGTCTAAAGTTGAGACAATTGTTATCCTCTCCCACTGTAAGACTGGTAATAGATAATGTGAGTTCAGCTTTATTCCATTATGAACCTGTCCCACTCTCATCTTAGGGCTGTACCGATTGTAAGACACTTGGCAGTGACTGTCACCGACAGATTGGATGAACTGCAGCCTTTTAAGTCTTGAACAGAGCAGGTCACGAGGGGAACCAGTACAAATGTCCAAAACCCTCAAGTGTACCCAGCAGGTTTCTCCAGAATGAGCAGTGAAACACACAATAGAGGACACAAGTGCAAACTCTGGTGAAGGGCACTTAGAACCAG